TATAAAAATAGAGTATCTAAATAACTATTTGCAACTATCCAGAGAGAATCTTGACCTGTCAGGATTTACTATCAGCCTGTGAATGAAAAAGAGATTACTTTTGCCTGTAGTAGTTTCAGAAACATCCGGATATTTTCCTTACCAGGCTTGAATTTAGAAAAATGCTGCCTATTGCATGTAAACCTTACATAGTTACCAGGAAGCATCCCATTTTACAGTGGTCACTGCATTATATACAGTTACGGGTGTATATTGGTTTCCTAGGAAAGATCCCAATTAAGCAAGTTTCTTGATTGAATGGTGTCTACTATATATGCTAGTGAGAAATTACACAGCATGGGCAAAAAGATCTACTAATATCTTCAGTCAATCACTGCATTGCCTTTAGCTGAGACTTTTTTCTTATCTTTCCCTTGGTGGTGCGATGCAGACACTGAGAGATTGAAACACTGTGCTACACTTTTGTTGCCCTTTCTGCATTTTCTATGCTTTCCTGCATTTGCAGAGGGACTGATTAGCTCAGAATTTTATGGTAACAGGTAGCAAGATGCCAGGTATTGCACTGTTTTCTCCAAGTCCTGTCAGTACGTTTTACCTGTCATTTCATGTAATACTAAAGGAAAATGATTATATTATCACAAGTTTTCTGTGACTGGCAACTGTATTGGCATCATATATCTAGGAACAGCTGTTGTTGTTTTATTAGAAAATACTCCAGTGATGCTTAGTGTAGATGGAGCCAAGGCAGTATCAGCAGCATTGCCATTCCCTCTGCCATTAGTATTGTGTAGGATTTGCTAACCTCTATAAAAATTTTATTTTTTCTAATTGACTATTTTAATTTTTTAGAGAATATATATGGCTTAATCCTACTTCCTCTGAATATTTGTGCACATTACATTACCAAAGGGAAAAAAAAAAAAACAAAACCAATATACAGTAGGCAGGATCTGAGAACTGGCAATTCTTCGCCAGGAATGTGAATGTGACTTAGTTGTGTGCTTCTCCACTAGACAGAGTTACAAATTCCTGTCCCACCATTTAACCATTTTTTGGTTAAAAATGAAAATTTTGACTGCTGTGATCAATATTGGTATGTTTTTCTATTATAAATCTAAACATAGGAAAGTAACAATACTCTCAATGCATTTGATTTCAAAATTACTTTCACATTTTTTATGTTTTATTACTTTTAGGTCCTCTTCTATGTAGAAATAGCAGTGATATGGTGATTCAGTTATGTCCAATTGTGAGGCATCACCAAACTATATACATTATTTTAAGATCCTACTTGACATATTTTATTTTTAAACTGTTGACTGCACTTACTGAAACCTTTTTAGACTATAGTTTTTAAAGAACTGTCATTAGTAGATCACATACAAACACTAAAGAAAATGCATCTCTGTATATAGTAGTAAGAATAGTAATAACTATGAATAAAAAATGTTTATCAAATAAGAGAAAGAGATTGGAGGGAGTGTCATCGTTCTCAGGCATATTGCTGGGACTGGTTCTGCACTGCAGCTGAGAACAAAGGTAATTATTTAATCTAGTTAAAAAGGAAAAAAAAACAAAACAAAACACTAGCAGTTATGCAGCCAGTGTTAACTGCTACTTGTTTTCAGTGGCAGTGGTATTCTTTTTCATGTGTTGTGAAATTGGTGGCATACAATGGTAGAATACATTTTTTACCCTTTCCCTCCAAGAAAAAGGGAAGCAGTTTGTACATAATTTGTTCATAAGACTGGAAAGTTGCTGCTGGGGGTGTGGGTAACTGGGATATTCCCTGGTGCTTTTGAACAAGAACGTGAAAAATCCCAGTACAATTCTTCTCAGTGTGTGAGAAGAGGTTCTTGGCAGCAACTGTGCTCATTTTCTTCAACTGCAGCTGTTAGAGTGCACTTGCCTAAAAAAGAGGAAGAGTTGGACTGAACTCGGCAGGATTAAACATTTAGGGTACAGAAAATTCGTAACCTATAAATTACCTAGATTTTTCATTAACTTATGTATTAATGAACCACTTAGTCTTTTTATAACAGGTTGAATGTTAGCTGAATGATCACTTCTCTACCCGTTACCTGCAAGATGATCAATACACGTTTAGCATATTAAGCACCAACAAAGAGAGACTTTGCAGGCATATCCTAAAAATGATAAACTGGAACTGTTATCTAATAAGGAGAATTTCAACAGCAGATACAGAATAGTTTTTTGGTTCCTTCTTTTAAATCTGTAGAAACTTGATTATTTTTTGGTATAGCTAAATATGCTTCTTCATAACTAGTCCACCTCCACATCAGTATTGCTTTTTAACACACAAGTCCACAAGTTGGAAGGTACTAAAAAAAGCCCCTTCTGTTTTTATGCCCCCAGTAATTACAGTCACAAGTTCTCAAGTCTAGGAAGGGAACTTTCTGAATGTGATTGGCAAAGCTCTGTGTTTTGATATGCTGCTAGAATTCTGCTGGGCTCCTGAGGTAAACCCTATGCATGCAGTGACTTCAAGGGTTATATTGATATCTCTCTGGAATTCCTTTGGCAATACTGCTGCAGATCCAGACAATAATTTCATTTTGGGGGCTCTTTTCATGAAGCTTTTTTCCCCTATGACACATTTAGATTCTTTTAGCATTCAAACTGATGAAAAGGTCAACCTAACATCAGTAACACCAAATCTCAGTATTTAGTTCTAAAATGTAGGCTTAGAAGAAATGTCAGAGTTCAGTGAGGCTATTTTTATTTTTTTAACTGTCAGCTTCTTCCTTGAGAAGTGGCATAATTTTGAATTTTTAAGAAAATCTGTGACCATTTTGTACCAAATCAGCCTGCAATACTGGTTATAACCTCTTTACACTGATGTTCTTCTATCTTAATTAAGAGGAGACTCTGAAATATGTATATATTAATGTATATGCATGTACGTATTATATATATACAAAAGAAGAAAGCACTATAGATTTTCACCTTTTAAATGCTCTTTTGGAGCATCAAGACTTCCCTCTGCTTGTCATACTTCTTATTGCAGAAACAAATGAGTTGATGACTTAGACACTGAGTATCTGGTGAATATTCAGAATTTCACTGAAAATTGCTGAAAAAAACACAACATAAAATGAAATGGTTTGTTTTCAGCTGTATTCTTGGGTTGTTACACTTAAGCAGCATTTCATCCAGTGGTTGGTAGGCTGATAGATAACCCTGTGTTTTACCTCTTTCAGCAGTGAGGAGAGCGTCTTTGGAGGGTGGCTTGGTGTGAGCTCTTTTCCATGTGAAATTGTATGGACCTTCAAAAAATTAAAGGGAACGGGAGCTGGTTCATCACTTCCCCCCCCCTTCCTTTTTTTTTTTTTTCATCCATGTTACTAGATGTAACCACCGCCCTGACAAGGAGATTCAAAATTCGCTTCTCCCCTAGTGCAGTCAAGTAGCGAAAGCATCTGGATAAAAAGAACCCATCCCCCAGATCATGAGATCTGAATCCAGAGCTATGCAAAACCTAGCAGAAGTTGCAGGAGAGAGAACATTCTGAAGACTGTGTATTAAAGCATTGATTCATATGTGCTGCAGTTGTAAGCCAGAGGACATATAAATAGCAAATTGAAACAGCTTCTATTTCATACTCTCCAAGAGCTTGCATCTCCCAAATTCAAACAACTAGCTGCTTCTTGCCTTAAGTTCCCAATCCTGCTTGCAAAATCATTTTGAATGTGTGTAGCTAAACAGCTCAGAGTGATTTTGTTTGGGAAGTTCCTCAAAACTGAGCACTATATTTTATTCCGACTTTGATTCAAGTGATCTCAGTGAGCAGTGTTGTTCTTCCACCTTATCTGGTGTAACAGCTTCCCTTCTGGTTATGTCAAATTGTAGAATTACTCTTTCCAGCTGTTCTTTCCAACATTGACCATTTATACCTTGGGTACTGCTTCTGAGTTGTAATACTGGTAACCAGTAGATTTCTCTCCTTCCATCCTGCCAGGGCTCTGGAGCTCATTCCAGACCACCTGTACTGTTGGCCAGAAGAAAGACTTCTGCACCAGCAGGGTATGTGCTGGGGCTTTCACTTGGATGTTCATTACCTTTTTAATATGCTGCCTTAGCAGGCTGGATAAGCAGAGTCTGACATGCTTGCTGCTTGCTCCATTACCGAGACCTTGAACCAGAAGAATGCCATTAATCTTAACTCCAAATAAGGTGTGTTTGCAGCAAAAATGTTGCAGGAGGTCCAGCTCTTTGAATTACTTTTGCATCAGCCAGTCTGCTTTGAACCACACCAGCCTGAAAGGGCATAAATTTTCCACCAACTTACAGTGTAAGGTGTAGTAATGTAAATACAGGGGTGTTAAAAGGCAGGAAATCTTCCAAGGAGTGGAGCTGATCTGCCACGGGGGCAGGTGGCCAGTGTGGGACCTCCTGCGGTGCGGCGGGGTTGAAGGAGGCGCCGAGAGGCATCGTTGGATTTGCATCGTGCGGATTGCTGTACAGTGAGCCGGCAGCTCGCTGCTCAGCAGCCTGTGACGACTTTGCACGGAAAGAGGGAAATTTACCGCCGGCTCTCCACGCCGGTGCCGCGCCACCCGCTTTCGGCAGTGCGCCCCTTCCCTGCTCTCCCCGCAGCCCGCCCAGCCCTCTTGCCTCCGGCCCTGCTTCTCGGCCCCACTTCTCGGCCCCGAACCCCCTTCCCAGGCCAGCTGTCGCCCAACCGGAGCCGTCCTTCTTCAGCAGCTCTACCACGGAAAGGGGGCTTTCTGATAAAGATGCCCCTGTGCCTGTACGGACCGATGAGCCCGGTACGGAAGGAGGGATGGATGTGGGGCTGGGTGCATGGCTCGTTCTCCCGAGCACTGGGGCTGGCCGAGCCCCGAAGTGCCGGCGAAGGGGAGACGCGGCGGGGCCGGGGGGGACAGGGCGGACAGGAGACGCAGCCAATGGCGGGGGCCGGCGGCGCTGCAGGAGCGGCGGGGCGGGGCGGGGCGAGGCGGGGCCGGGCCGGGCCGGGAGGGCCGCGGGACCGGGACCGCAGCCGGAGACGGGCCGGTGCCTCTAAGGACGGGGAGCAGCCGTGCCGCCAGCACCGCAGAAAGTCCCCAGTGCTTCCTCTAAATTAAAGTGCCTTGTCACCAGTTAGGGCAAGTCAGCCAAGGTAAGGCTTAAATAAAATGACACTTTATAAATACGTGGCAGCGTGGATATTGGTGGGCAGCTGTGCTGCTAACACAGCCGCCTTCTGAGCAGTGCGGAGTACTGTGTGCGGTAGCGCTGTGGCAGTGGGTCCATTTGCGTGCGTGAAAGTTCCCGCAGGTCTCGGCAAGGCTGGTCCCCGCGGTGGTGGGGGTCGCGATGCTCCCCGAAGGGAGCAGTGCGGGAGGGAGCTGCAGAGCAGAGGCAGGGCAGGCAGCGGCGCGCTATGAACGTGTGGTGTGCGGCCGTGCCAGCAGTGCCCGCTGTGCGTGTGAGGATGGTCTGCAGATGCCTTCTAATGGGGATGGCAGGCAAATTCTGGGGCTCAACTCACGTAGGTGAGCCTTTCTGTACAGAAAGCATGTCATGTTAATGTTATGTGAATAACATGAAGCTTGGTATCCGAGTTGGGTTTTTTATTATTTTTATTGGTTCCCATGTCTGTAATATTACATGATAACCAAGGATTGCAATAGCAGCAGCAAAGACCAATTGCATATGTACCTTTAGCTGCTTGTTAAAGCTTAAGCAGTGACCCAACTTTACTTTGTGTAAAGGACGCTGTAAATAATACACAGCCAGAAACGAATCCTCTCTTCCTTTCCTCCTAGCCCACCCCCGTGGATTCCTTCCTAGTGAACGTGTGCCTTTAGTTCATGCCACATTTTCACCAATTGCACTGCCTGTGGTCTGGAATCCAGTGTTTTTGCAAGCAAGGAGTTCCTCGGGATGACTTCACTAATGTGTCTCTTTGAAAACAAGGTGGTTCTGAACCTCCCTATATGTGTGTGTGTCTGTGTGTGCCTGTTAAAGAGAGAGGCTGGCTTGTGTACACGAGTGACAAGATACGAGGAGAACAGGGTACAGAAGCCAGTGAAATGTGGCAAATATACACCCCTGCATGTGTTTTTCTGAGTATGTCTCTGTAAAGCAGTATGAACATTTCTTACGTTTTAATGTAGCTCATCATTCAGATTAGGGTTTCGGATAAATCCAATTTCATGAACATCAATGCCCCATTAGTTTTTCATGATCAAAAGAAATACGATGGAAAACACAGGTGATAAAATCACTGCCTCTGTTCAAGGTACAGATGCTGTTTTTCATTCCAAGACGCTAAGCATAGCTCCTGAATTTCCAAAGATTTACTTCTGTGCTGCAGTCAATCGGATACAGTTGTGTGAAAACGCAGGAGCCTTCTGTCTGCAATAATTGTCTTTCTCCTGGATGACAGTGTTTGTCTTCAGGGGAAATAATAAATTAATTTAAAACTTTGCGATATGTTTAGCATTTTGCCTAAATGCAAAGGTGAGAAGACTGATTTAGAGAAATAACCCAAAGGCTTCCCTAACCTCCTCCACTGCCTTTGACAGTCTGTTTCAGACTTTTCTGAAGAAGACATGGTTTGTTATAGTTTCCTAATGCAAATTAAGGTGTGGCTTTAAAAACAAACAAACAAACAAGCCCAACAAAAAAAACCAAACAAATTTAGATGGACCCCTGGAAACAATGTAATAGTTTTAATAGTTTTCTTTTGCAGCTGGTTAAAATCACTGGCCATCCTGCTTAAGGATTCTAATAGATAACTTTGTTTCATCTGTAATTCTGTGACTTCTACTTGGCAAAACAGACAAGCAATTGGGGGGGGGGGGGGGGGGGAGGTAAAAATCCCAAACCAAAACAACCCATTTGCTGTTTCCTGCTCCTTCTAAAAAACAACAGGAGAAATTGTGTGTCAGACAGCACTTATGTTTAAATAGGAGCAGATCCAGGGCACAAGCATGGCTTAGAGGACACTGTATTGCTGACTGAACCATTTACAGATGAGATTCAAAACTAAATGGCTTCCACTGTGGGTGCTGAAGAACCTGTAAGTCTTCACCAGGACAGGAATGCTAATCCTGCTATTAGGACAAAGTGCCAGTTGAAGTTTTTATACTTTGACTAGTTTAATTCCCCAGGTTATTTAATTTTGAGGGCAGCATTCTTTACTACCTGCATTAAAATTGTTGTCTAGAGATTTTGTCCTGCAGTGCAGACACTCTAACTCAACCGCTTGTTGGCGTGTGCTGTGCTAACTCATGGTGAACATTAGCTAGTTCTGGTGAACATAGGTGATGTTACAAAACAACTGGGGATAAATGTCTTGCCATCCAAAATAAGCATGTGTGAGTACATGTGTACGTGCCAGAAAGGTGCAGTTTTTACTGTACCAGTACTGACGTTCCTGCGGTGCATAGGATTTATGTAATAACCTTCAGGGAACAATCTGTATTTAAAAGTTATTATAATTTTGGTTTTGTTGTTTGCTTTATGTTGTTTTTTGTTAGGTTGGGTTTTTTTTTTAATATAATTTTGTCTCTGAACTCGGTTTAACTTCTATTACTGGTTTCAATAAGGACTGGATATTTATCAACAACTAGAAAGAAATATATAAAATGTAAGTAATTTAGTTGTTAGTTCTCGTTATGGTTGTATGGAAGACTTTAGCCTACATCTCGAACTGGTAAATGAAACTTGAAGGGTATGAAAAATCCTGTTCCATGTCTGCAAGCTCCTGCTCTGGTTCAGAGTTGCATTTCTGTTAATGCAAGTAGTGCTGAAAATTATCACTCTAATCAGATTGAATCAAAGCAGCTGAATACCAGTGAGTCATCTGTTCCATGCAGATGAATATGAGCTCCTGCTCAGTTGCTAGCTAGCTCTGGTGGACCTGTCCTGCAAAGGGGCCTAAGCTACATCAGCCATCATGACATGTAGCAATGTAGGCAATACAAAATAAAAGTGTCAAATCAATATAAAGTAATCCTATTTATGGAAGAGATATTATTCATCTTCTTCTAGAGGAAGGAAGTGCATATATGAAGGTCATATGCTTTGATAATATGAAAACCCCAAAATTGCCTACAGTAGTTTATATAATCCAACACGTAAATCTCACTAGCTTTAATTAAAGGAGAAAAACCTACTTTCCTTGGTCAACAGTTTAGAGAGTATAGAACAGTGATGAATCAGGGTGAAGAGCTTTAATTTCAGCACTTACTTGATGGGCAATCATAGTCATGTCCCTGAAACACTCTGTAACTTCTTGTATGACACGAACATAGCACGATGACCCAGGGAATTACAGACCAGTTAGTCTCACCTCGGTGCCTGGCAAAATCTTGGAGCAGATTCTCCTTGAATGCATGCTAAAGCACATGAAAATCAACAAGGTGCTTGGTGACAGCCAGCGTGGCTTCACTAAGGGGAAATCCTGCCTGACCAATCTGGTGGCCTTCTATGATGGGGCTAAGGAACTGATGGACAGGGGTAGAGCAGCTGATGTCATCTACCTAGACTTGTGCAAAGCGTTCAACACTGTCCCACACGACATCCTTGTCTCTAAATTGGAGAGACATCAATTTCATAGGTGGACCACTCAGTGGATATAGAACTGGCTGGATGGCCGCACACAGAGAGTTGTGTCAATGGCTCAATGTCCGGCTGGAGACCAGTAACGAGTGGTGCCCTTCAGGGATCAGTGCTGGGACCGGTCTTGTTCAACATCTTCGTTGCTGACATGGACAGTGGGATTGAGTGCGCCCTCAGCAAGTTTGCCGATGACACCAAGCTGTGTGGTCCGGTTGATACCCTGGAGGGAAGGAATGCCATCCAGAGGGACCTTGACATGCTTGTGAGGTGGGCTGATGCTAACCTTATGAAGTTTAACCATGGCAAGTGCAAGGTCCTACACCTGGGTCGGAGCAATCCCAGGCACAGCTACAGGTTGAGCAGAGAAGAGATTCCAAGCAGCCCTGCGGAGAAGGACTTGGGGGTGTTGGTTGATGAGAAAATGAACACGGGCCAGCAGTGTGTGCTTGCAGCCCAGAAAGCCAACCATATCCTGGGCTGCATTAAAAGGAGCGTGACCAGCAGGTCAAAGGAGGTGATCCTGCCCCTCTACTCTGCTCTTGTGAGACCTCACCTGGAGTATTGTGTGCAGTTCTGGTGTCCTCAACATAAAAAGGACATGGATCTGTTGGAACAAGTCCAGAGGAGGGCCATGAGGATGATCATGGGGCTGGAGCACCTCCTATATGAAGACAGGCTGAGAAAGTTAAGGCTGTTCAGCCTGGAGAAGGGAAGGCTGCATGGAGACCTCATAGCAGCCTTCCAGTATCTGAAGGGGGCCTATAAGGATGCTGGGAATGGACTCTTCATTAGGGGCTGTAGTGATAGGACAAGGGGTAACGGGTTAAAACTTAAACAGGGGAAGTTTAGATTGGATATAAGGAAGAAGTTCTTTAGTGTAAGGGTGGTGAGGCACTGGAATGGGTTGCCCAGGGAGGTTGTGAATGCTTCATCCCTGACAGTGTTCAAGGCCAGGTTTGACAAAGTCTTGGGTGGCATGGTTTAAGTGTGAGTTGTCCCTGTCCATGGCAGGGGGGGTTGGAACTAGATGATCTAAGGTCCTTTTCAACCCTAACTATTCTATGATTCTATTCTGTTATAATTACAGCGTGAGTATTGTACAATACTGCATTAAAGAAATATTGCAGAGCCTAATACCTAAGTGTGAGTGTCCCTATTACTCTGTAAATTTGTTTTGATTATGAACATGATTTTGCTCTCAATTTCCAGCAAAGCTACATGGAATTCGAATATTCCATCCAAGAACTGAAGTAGGATTTTTAAGAAGCTTCTGAATTGGGATCCAAAAAAAATATCGTGTCTCCCGTAGGGGAAAATGAAGACTGGCAGAATGAGATTTTTTTTCCTCCAAAACCAGGCTTTGTCAGACAAATTACGGGTACTGAGATGCTTTGGACTGTTTTGGACTGGTCTTAATATACAGATGGAGAATCAACTGGAATTCAAATTAAACTAGTTGGGCATTTTAAGGGAGTGAGGTAACACTACACTTGGTACAGTTACTACATTCCCTTCACATCCCCTAAGTCTCATACATAAGCCTAAGCT